TTTTAGTAAAAGGTAATATTCTGTCTTGAAATAATGATAATTGAAAAATGGGTAACTCCTCAATGCTTAGGGTACTTCATGGAAAGATCCCTGTTTTCTATCTGTGTGTGTGTGTGTGTGTGTGTGTGTGTGTGTGTGTGTACGCGCGCGGTTTTTAAAAAGGGAATTGAGTTAGCACTTTATGAAATAAAAGAATATTGGGATTTTATCTGTTTCCTGCACTAGCACAAGTGCATATGGCCCAGACCTTTATATAAATCTTCCCTATATTTGCACAGACTGTTTCAAAACATGTGCTTGCCTCTGAGTTAAAATTATTTTTAACTGTTCCATCTACCTCTCTACCTCTCCTTCTTGGTAACCTATTCCTTTTGGGAAGGGCGGGCCAAAATGGTCAGCTGCTTGGCTTCTACATTTTGGAAAACTCTGAAGAATCCTCCAGCAAATCTCTGGGGCAAAGCAGCCTTTTCCCCAAAGAACAAGGGCTTCTGAGAGACTTTGCCTCATAAGGGCTGGTCAGAGGCTCTGGGCAGGCATCAGTTGACAGGGACATCTTTGCCTCCTGACAGATGGTCAAGCTTTCCATGTCAGCAAGCAGCAGAGGGATCTCAGGATTTTGCCTGCATTCCACACGGCAGGGCCAGTTTAGGGCAAAAGGGATCTAATGTCCATGCCCTTCATAGTTGGCGAGCTAAATGATGGACTGTTGACAGGAGAGCCATCAAGTGCTTATCCTCAACATACAAACCTTTGTGCTTCTCCCTTTCCAATTTTTTCTTTGGCAGAATTAATGTCCTATTTGCTTATCTTCCCAAATCCGTTTTGGCACCAATACAAACCACCGCTTGGTGGCAAGCAGTTGTCTGGACTTTAGATGCCAGGATTTGTGCTGACAGTTCTTTCCACACATTCAGAGTCAAGCCTCTTGCAGCTGGCCAGGAGAGAAAGCTCTTCTCCCACCATAGACAGCCACCCCAATACTTCATGCAAGCCAGGTTTCAACTAATGATTGTCATATTTTGCTTGATGGGACAAGTAGTAACACACCTTTTTTTTTAAAAAAAAAGTGGAAACAAAGCTTTTATAGTTCATATTCAGCTGACTAGATTGCATGAGTACAGTCATCATACGTTAAAAAAAATTCAATTCAGACATGGTTACTTGATTTCTTTTGGAGCAATGTCAACTGTTTCCTGATATTAAAATTATATTAAATGGGTATAATGGGAAAAAATATCTCCCTTAACTCAACTCCCACCCATGTGGTAGACACATTCCTATTCTATTATTCTGGGCAATAATATGGAAGCGGGTTGCCTCTGCTTCTCCAGCTCGCCTTCCAGAAGCAGATGAAAACATGACTTCTTTAGGAATTAATAATAACAATTGGTGCCATATTCAGTAAATACTACCTTCTTACTTTAATATTTATTGACAGATAAATTTGATTATTCTTTTACTTATTATATTGGTACGTACTGTATTCTGTATATCAGTTGCAAGCTACCTAGAGTCCTTTTGATTTCAGGAGGTAGACAAAACACATGACAAATATGTTACGATGGGCTGGAATGTCTGAGCCATCTTAGAGTTTTGATTTTTGTTTCATGCCATTTCAACATATTTAACACCATAATTCAAGAATGTGGAGATTTACAAATTGTAACAATAACTTTCATCATGCCCATTTAGTATGAGGTTAATTCATATTAGTATTATTACTAATTACTAATATTAATATTAGTGTGAGATTAATTAATGACAAGAATATTGTTTCTTCTTCCTGGTGACCTCCTAAATAAATAAAATATTTTGAGTCACCCAAAACACTTTTTTCGGATTTTTTAAATTTTTTTGTCTGTATTGCTTGAAAAGACCATTTCTTCTTCCTTATTATCCTCGGGAATAAGTCCATCAGGAATTTGAAAAGTGGGAATCATAAACTTACAGAGAAAATTTCTGGCAGCACCCTGAAACCATTTGGAGACCTTTAAAGTATTGTATGCAATAAAAAAGAGGCTTTGCAGTTCTTGTTGAAAGAGAACTCCCTTGAAATTATTTTCCAATAGATTTGGTGGAAAATAAAAGGTTAATAGATATCAAAAGCATGTTGAAAGGGACGAGCAAACACATTTTGTCTTCAAACTTGATTGAAAACTGATTTAATTGCAATCAAGTGTCTTCTTTTTGAATGGGAGAGAGCTTTAGTTCAGAGATTCCCTTTCCTAAATGGTTATCCCACATCTGTACAGAAGATCCTATCTCTAAATAAAGTTATATGAGCCTTTGTACTAAGTGCATTGAGTCAATGATGTGCAGGTAAAATTATCTAATATTCTCAACCACAAATTGAAATATGAATCTTAATGGAAAACAAGAAGTGTATAATTCTTGAGCAAAATCAAATGTCATAATTTTCTAATTATAATTTTAAAATATATTTGAACAGTCTATCCTCTGGAACAATGTTTCCCAACCTTTACGGCTTGTAAAGGTTGAACATTGAGGGAGACACTTTTTGTTGTTTATCTCTTTTGTAAAATATGTCTTTTGTTTCTGAAGAAATACGGGTTATAAAACAATTTCAGTGATTTTTACAGAGTCAAGAACTTTAAAAGTATTGTTCATTTAAACATTTGTGGTTTCCAGAACAAAGATAAATGTAATTTTTTCACATCCTTATTTTAGTTTGAAGATCCAAGCTAATTTTCTTAAATGTTCATCATGCAAGTTTTGATAAAACTTTTGATTCAGCTTGATTTAACAGCTTTGGAAAAAATATTTTATTTATAAATCATTATTTTTATTGATAAATGTGTTTTCACACAGGCACACATTCAGCTTTTAACAAACAATTTAACACAAGCTTTATACCAAAAAGAAGTAAAATCCAAAGTAGTAAAAACAAAAGAAGTAAAAACAAAAAATCCAAAATAAACCAGTTCCAATAAAATATAGATGCATATCGCTAACCGCAGCAAATTCTGTAATTATTATTTTTTTCAGTTAAGAAGCAAAACACAGTGGCTATGTTTTTAAGTCATCTTAAAACCACAGAAGCAGCTAACTAGTTCTCTTTTTGAAGGAACTTCTAAAGTATATGCTCTATTTCTATCTCAACTCTATTGCACATATTTACAAAATATATTTGCACATTAAGGCCAAAGTTCAGTTTTTAAAAGCATTTTCATTTCAGATGTTGAATAGGGTAGTCCTTATCGAAAACAATCTGCTAGCTTCAGCATGTAGAAAGATTCAAAATTTCTGTTAGGTTCAATGACAACGCCAAGAATACACTATTTATTCAGACAATGCAAACTGCAGTTTGTCTTTTAAATAGTCGGTTGATTGATTAATAGGTTAAAAGTAACACAACTAATTGACTGCAACCTTTAATGTAATGACAGCCCTAATTAAAAGAAAACTTGCCATGTGAGAGCTTCATAATAGTTGGCTTTTTTTTTTTTGACTGAGCTCTTGGAAATAATACATACTGTATACATAATATACTGTAGATATTTAAGAGTATTTCCCCACTCCTTGCCACACCCAGAATTTATTTAGCATCTCTTTTCTTGCTATGCACAGTGCTTTCTACATATTGATTTATTTTATTCCCTTTGTTCTAAGTGTTATGCTTAGGGCATATTATATCCAGATTATAATATGGGACCCATATTTTCTTTTATTAAAGGGCCACAATATGTGGTGGAATTTCTTGATTTTTTGTGTCATACTATATACAATTAAACACCCCCTGCAATTGTTGCTTTGGTAACACATGGGATGGGTACTCATTTACCCAAAATTGAAGTCCTCCCGTCAGCTTTATGGGAAATGCAATTCAGTTACATACCCTATCTTACTTCTCCTACTTGGCTAGGTAGTAGAAGTTAGGATTTTAGCATACCCATTTTGTTCTTTTTGCCAATTTATCTCTGAACTCCAGAATTTCCCACATTGTCATCCAGGCTCAAGAGTTGGGTTCTTTTGTTTTCCTGTTTCATACCAGTTTGTCTGAAAGCAAAACAAAACTGATTTTTGGTTTGTTAGGGCTATAGCCCTATGGATTTTGCAGGCAATTTCTTCTCCCATTCTTATCCTGCAACTTCAGCATTTTGCTCTTTTTTGGTTGAGAATATATTTCTCTTCCCCATTCAAGATGTTGTAGCAACACGCAGCCAAGGTTGGAAAAACTGGGAAGAGTGCTTGGTTGTAGAAATGGAATTGGGATGAAAGGAATTTACCTTCTATGAAAGTTGCTATGAAAGTTTGAAAGATAGGAACACAATTGGATAATATTATTTGGCCCTATCCTATTTTCCTATTGGTCAGTTGAAGGTGGATATTAATTGGTTCTTGCTGTTCCCCATGTATTTTAATATTTAGAATTTTGAAGAAGAAAAACTGATCACAGACAGTGGTGGGATTCAAAAAGTTTTACTACTGGTTTTGTGGCTGTGGCTTGGTGGATGTGGCTTGGTGGGCACGGCAGGGGAAGGATATTGTAAAATCTCCATTCCCTCCAGATCAGTTGGGACTCGGGAGGCAGAGAATAGATGGGAGTGGGGCCAGCCAGAGGTGGTATTTACTGGTTTTCCGAACTACTCAAAATTTCTGCTACTGGTTCACCAAAACTGGTCAGAACCTGCTGAATACCACCTCTGATGACAGATCAGTTTCAAACTGCTTTATTGGAATAGTATTGGCATTGGTATGGAAGTCCACCCCTTGTAAAAGTTGAGTTGTTTTGTGGCAGCGAAGATGGATTATATTTTCACACCTAATTATAAATGCTTTAAATTGGAAGGAACTTCACAATATAAAGTTGCCTATCTCTGCAAATTCCAGCAAAGAGACACCTATGGGATGGATTGCCTGTTTCTCCTGTTTCTTTGCCATCTGTCTCAAGTTCCAAGAATATGTTTAAAGATGCATAAGCAAAACAAATATTGAATGAATAACAAATTGTGCTAAACAAACTATTTCTTTTCCAACAGGTTCTTCTTGAAATTTTTTCTTAAATGTAACCAGAACTGCTTAAAAAATGCAGGAAATCCACGAGACATGCGGAGATTTCAGGTTAGTGACACTTTCTGCCTTGATCAATCTCTTTTTGAAAGTATGAACTAAGAAAAAATTCAGCCAGGGAACCTAGCTATTTTATTTCTGCATATTGTAGGCAAGTTTTTATCTAACATTTGGGAAACACTTTAGAATTTCAGCCTGAGAATTATCAATGACAGTACAGGTAGTCCTTGTTTACTGGTCAGTCAACAACCATTAGAAGTGAGGACAATGCTGAATGGCCTTATGACTAGTCTTCATAATTTCAGCCAACAACCTGGCAATCACATAATTGCAATTCCGATGCTTGATGACTAGTTTGCAGTTGTGACAGTTGCAGCATCCCTCACTCACATGATGAAAATTGTGATCTTTATGGTCAGCTTCTGACAACAAAGTCAGTGGAGAAGCTGGCAAGAGGTCAAAAATGGCAATCACGTGATTTAACACTTAATGACAATTCAGAATTAACAACTACAATGGGAATTGCTGCAGCTGCCATTGTTAAGTCAGTGTGGTTTTAGCAACAGAGTTGTCTGTCTTAATTATTGTTATTAAGCTAGGATTACCTGTATAGGATCAAATAATTCTTAAAACAGCAACATATAAATCAAACAAACACAGATCTTACAAGAATTGAAAAATAGATTAAACTAGATGTATACAGATATGATCTAATAATTTAGGCCAATTCCACTAGACATTTGAGCCTGGTATGCTCAGATTTGCTGCCCTAGGTGGTGAATCAAATTTATTTCATTGTTTGACTCATGGATCGCAGGCAAATCAGAACCCTTGTGCAATTAGTCTAAAATCTTTCCACTTGATATGACAATACTGCAAGGCATTAAAAAATAGGTTCTTTGGAAAGGCTTTTCAGGAAAAAAACAGAGGATATAACTGAGTAGAACAGATACATTAGACAAAGTGAGCAGTTCATATCTGCGTGCAAATGACTTTGACATCCTTGTAGGGCGTCAGATATATATGAACCCAGCATTCCTAAGCAGGTAGCCTCTATCCACTTGAGTAATCCTGGTTAATGTTCATGTTTTTGCATTTCTTTAATATAACACTATTCCAGCAAAAAAACTCCTGGCTTTCTATGAAATAACCTCGTTCCAAAACTGCTACAGTGGTTAAATCATAGATCCTTTTGGTCTCAGGCATACTAAGAGAACTTTTTCAAGGAAAATATCTTGTTTATCTTTTTTTAATCTTACCTCCCTATGCAATTTATTCAGAGGACTGCCTTTTGTAATATTACAAGATATGTTTAAGCCTTTAATATGAACTAAAACTTACATTTTCATGGAGGTTTTTTGGGGGAGGGGGCTTAAAGATAGTTTGTAATGTTGAGAACCAGTTTGGTCTAGTGTAGTGGTTCCCAACGTAGGGCCCACATCTCACAGGGGGGCAATTTGGTTTTTAATGTGGGAAATTTGAACCTTGTTTAAACCAAGTTAATGGCCTTTTAGGCTTCCTACACGTAAGTAGAGTTCACTTTTTGAGTAAAGTTAGAATTGTATGTGATGTGGGGGAGAGTGGCATCAGGATTTTAGAGATGCTTAGGTGGGACATGGACCAAAAAGGTTGTGAACCACTGGTCTCGTGGTTAAAGTACCAGGCTAGAAAGCAGGAGACCCTGAATTCAACTCCTGCTTTACCAATGAAAGTCAGCTGGTTGACCCTGAGTCAGTCCTCTCTCAGCCGAATTCATCTCACAGAGAGGAATAGGAGGAGGAATGGATGTTGAATATGTTCTCCTTGAGTTATTTGTAAACATAATAAAGGTGAGATATACAGTAAATAAATAAATAAATAAAAATTGAAAACTATACATCCCTATAATACATTACTCTGTTATAATACAGGATAGAACAATATAATCATTATATTATGATCTTATTGAGATATATAAACATAATCACCCCATCTCCTGAACTAAGCTCAATATAAGATGGACAGCTATATAAATGTTATAGATAATAAAATATAACAAAAGTAGAATTGTGGGGCAGGGTTACGACTGCCTGAAACTCATATTTTTCTTAATCAATCATTTAATGTTTTTATTTAATATTTTTTATGGGAGACGATCAATTAAGAATGAAGACTTCAGGTATTAGTCCCTTTCCATTCAAAGAGGCATAGGATCACTGTCAAAAACATATATAGGATTACTCTGTTACCAAGAAGAAACCCTGTGGCTTTCTGAGTAAAAAAAGCATAGAATTAATCTCTTAGCTCTGTATTTTTTATTTTCATAGTGTAGATGATAAGGAAGACAATAATTGGAAAAATTACCAAAATGTATGTGGGCATTTGTGTATATGTTTCTATGAGTGTTCCTGATATAGTTGCTTATAAATATAGTACATATAATTATGTTTACATTGCACTTTAAAGCCGTAAATGATTTAATGTCCAATTATCTGAGAATGTGCCTTATTGGAAGAAGCTGTATAAGTACTGAATTCAGCAGGATGCTGTCTTAAAAATGCTATAAATTTCAGAGCATTTTTCTTTCTCATACACAGAAGGCATGTCAAACTCTCTAAAATAAAGTTTTCTTGGAAGTTGCTCTTGGCTCCCACATTCTTTGACTTGAAGGAAAGGGTATGACTCTGCTCTTCACTGAGGCCTTTTGAGTTGGATTGTTACTGATTCTAGCTGCTATTGATGCAGTTTTAATGCATGATTTAACTTTAATATTATATGTCTTAGGTGTCTTGAGCACTCTTGTCTCTCCCCCCACAGCACTCAGTTTGAAGTCTCCATAGAATAGGTTTGCAGCTGCCTTTCTGACACATTTTGTCTAGTTCCTTTGATGTACTTCTCATCTTTTGCCAGGACTACTTCATATTTCATTATCAAAAATCAGATCCATTCCAGCTGCCATCATCTCGGTAGCACTTTGTTCATTTCCAGTATTTTTGCTTCTCTTCCTGTGCCACGTTATTAGAAATGAAGAAAATGCAATCTTGCCCCCATCTCCCTCAGTCTTCTGCTCAGTGCTTCATAGTCCTTTACAGTGTCTTCAAGTCTATGATTGGTTGGATTCCTACATGGATCAATAGAAACAGGAGGAGGTGTTTGTCACATCCCAATTGGGTGCTCCAGGCTCTTCATATGCTATCTGGATGAATGACAGATTACTGCTTTGGTCTCATTCAGTGGAAGGTCTCTGATCAGCCCTACTGGTGGCTTCCTTGTCTTCAGGGCAGGCACAAGAATCCTCCTTTTCGCCTTGAGCCTATTGAGTTGTCGTTTTTAATTCCTGAACCTGCTATTCATCTCAGATCCATTACCAACTTCCATAATGGCAATTGGAAATTGGTAATGTCTTAGGTTGTTTCCTTTCCTTTCCTTTCTTTTCCTTTCCTTTCATTGTCTGATCACAGACCTTAACCTTTCCCAGTTTGTAATTTTTGATGCAGAATGGTTAGGGACTTCTTAGCTGTATTTCCCCAGATTTTCTTCGGTTTTGCCTTGGCCTCGATAAACCTACCCTATTTTTCCAGAATATCCACCAGTTAAATCTGCTTCATAGATAAGGGCATCTAGCATGAGCAGCCAAGGCTAAAGACTGTCAAAGCATCAGTTCAAAGCTACCTGTTCTGCTGCCAGTTCAGAATTCCCCCAAGATGTAAGCTGATTTTCATATGGTAATGCTTTTGTGTGTTCTGTCAGAAGAGCAATCAAAAGTTTGTGTAGGTGACCAGGTAGGACATAAGAGAGGTTGTTGATCTCTTGACTTGTAAAGACATTCTGTCAGGCAAGCTGAGCCTCACAGCAGTTAAGCTTTCCATGTGTAAACAGAGACTGCTTAATTACACGGGTCATGTCAATTAGCGTGACCATAGCATTTTAAGGAAATTAATCACTTTCAGCAGAGCAGATCACCCTTCATACTTTTAAAATCCAGCCTGTCTTCTTCAGTGAACAAAAAATAATAATCTATTTCTATGGGCAATGGTTATGATTTTTTCTCCCTCCTACCCGCCTAGCTTCCTGATCTGGTGCTTGAACGTTTGTAGAAAACAAGTCTAGCTTCTTGTTGATGATGCAATTTATTTATTGTAGCTGGGCAAGGAAAGCACCAGTTGGCCATTGTCAGAGCCACGATGTTAAGAGGACAGCCTCCTTGCCCAAGCTATGATGCCTCCTTTCATGAGACAACTCACACATTCCTATAGTTCCAGCTTAATATGTCCCTCTTCTCCATGAACTGTTCATCTCAGCATCAATCACCTGAATTTAGATTGAATAAAAAATATTGATAAAACATTTTGCAATTGAGTTCTGTTATGAAAAGCAGATATGATTGTTGTGATGTAAAAATATAATTCTAACTCTTATATATTCTTAAGGTTCAGTTCATGGGCTATCTCCCTCACACTTGATAGACTTACTTTCTTTAGAATTTTCCCAAGTGTTGACTGTTTAGGGAAGAAGTTCCTGTGGATTTTTACTCTGCCAGTCATTGCCATCTATAGGGGGTGGTGCTCATCTCCATTTTGAGGCCGTTGAGCCAGTGCTGTCTGAAGATGCTTTTGTAGTCATAACAAAAGGGAGCACTGTTACTTTCACAATGATGTAGTACCTATTTATCTAGTCACATTTGCATATTTTTGAACTGCTAGGTTGGCAGATCTGGAGAAATAACAGAACACATGAGTCTTGAACCTGGGTGGTCAGCTTTCCAGTTGACAAGCCCAGGGTCTTAAGTACTGTGCCACTGCACCATCCTGTTTGAAGAAGTGTGAACAGATAATGTGAATGTATAATATTCAATGTTCACCCTAGAATTAATTAAGACATATTTATTTATTTATTTATTTATTTGAAACATTTATATAGCCACCCATTTTATACAAAACTCTGAGCAACCTCAGAATACTTGTGATAATATAAATTATTTGAGAATATAATGGTGGCAGACATAAAATGAAAAAAGCTGGGATTGTACAGTATCTCTTTGATACATGCAACATAATCCAAATATTCTATTT